AACAGGTAGGGCAGCATAAGTCGACCGAGGGCTGCAGTGGCCGGGGAAGAGTAGCGGGCAACTACAGCGTCGTACAGTGCGTTGGCAGTCTTGTGCTGGCTAAAATGCGCGCGCTCTGTGATCGGCAGATGGTTGCGAATAGCGAGGCGCGCAGCAGCATCGCAGGTCTGCCACTGGGAGCGGTCTAGAGCAGGCTTAGTGTCAGCACGAGCAACGGCAGTGCCAGTCACGTAATCGAACAGGGAAACACCGTCCTTGGCATCAATCAGAAGGAACGGTTGCAAGTCGTCAAGCCAGGTGGTAAACTCTACTGGGCGACCGTCAGGATCGAACGCGAGCACGTTGAGATTCGCCATGCTTGCAGTGTAGGCAAGTCTAGTGCGCAGGCAGCAAGGCAAAAGGCAGGCAAGGAGAGGCTGTGTGCAAGGCTGCAGTGGCGGCGCACGGGCTCCTAAGGCGGCGCACGGTGCAGCAGTAGGCCGCGCGCTGGCTCCTAAGGCGGCGCGCCGAGCAGTTGCGGGCTGCGGGACCAGAAGAGGCGACGCGCGGGGCAGCAGCGGGCTGCACAGGCGGTTTACGCGGCGTGCGGGCCGGCGGCAGGCTGCGCGGGTGACGGACGCGGCACGCAGGGCCTAAGCGGGCTGCGCGCGGGCGGCTTACGCGGCGCGCGGGCCGGCGACAGGCTGCGCGGGCGGCTGACGCGGCGCGCGGGGCCGAAAACGGGCTGCACGCGGGCTGCTTCAGCGGCGCACACGGAAAAAAAAAAAAAAAAAAAAAAAAAAAGCCGCGCGCGTGCAGCCGAGGCGCGCGCGGGCAGCAGGCAAGGCAGCCAGGCAGGCAAGGCCGTAGGTGAGGTAACACGGTAATATGTGGGCCCTAATCTTAGGTCCTAAAGACCTACTGCTCTAGATACCATCTTAGAAGCTAGGCAGTGAGGAATGACTATCGAGAGGATTGGTACAAGGAGGAAAGCCTAAGGGGTTATACCCCACTACAGCCTACCCACAAATATAACATATGCATATGTTTGACAGACTCGCATCCAGTGCAGGGTCCGAATGTGAAGGGAACCAAATCTACAACACATTCGCCTGCTAAAGTAAAAATCGTTACAGCGCTTTGAACACTTTTAGAATTTTAAAGTTTACGTGCGCTTATAATAAAACAAGTTTTTCAGGGGGTGCGCTTATAATCGAGGAGCACCATGTTGGAAACAATCGGTCCTAAGCGCCTCTGTCGTGTCGAAACACTAAGGCACAAGCGAAGCAAAGCATATCGAGGCACCAGCGAGTCAACCCTCGGAGGTTGAAGTAACTGCTGGAGGTTACGCGAAAGTCAAAGGTCAGCGACCTTTGACCTGACAAGTACAGCGCGACAGCAAGGACACACAACTGACTCGCTACAGAGCAGTTACCCGAGTCGTCACTGTATCGAACCGCAACAGCAACAAGTAAAACAGCTACAACCGTATCTCTTCGTATTCCTTGTACTCTTATATAATCTTGTATCTCTTTGTTTTAATCAACTTACTTTGCCCTCACATACTAGCGCAAGGTGGTTCACAACTCCTTATTAAACGCTTCCGCTACTACACCAACTCTACTCAGTGTTCACCCCTGCAAAGATCCTAAGGGCTTTTTCAGCCCAACATGGTATGAGAGCTATCAGGGGGAATTCAACTTCTACAGCAACAGTATCAATCAGCATGGCTACACAAAAAGAAAGGAGCAACTCCAACGGCTCCCAGGGAACTACTCCTACTCCACCTCCTGCCTCTGGCCTACAGACAGAGGAGGGCATGGCAGCAAGACCCAGAGGAACATCTACCGAGACTCCCGCGAATCAACCTGCAGACTTCGACTTGAGCATGATGGAAAAGTTTTTCTCCTCCATGTCCTTCTACGAGCAACACCAGCAATCGGCGCCTGCGCAGTCACACCACAGCAACAACAACGGGGCAACACCCATGAGTCCCGCCGGTTCATCATATGCACGAGGAAATCAGCAACAGCAGCCTACCTTTGCTCCGTACGAGCGCGGGTCCATCAGCTTCATGCCACACCCACAACCCTCACCTGGACAAGAAAAACCACTGGACGCATTGCAAGTTCAGTCGCAGTTCGCTCACGTTCTGAAGATCCAGACGTCAAGAGCCTTCGATGGAAAGGACTTCTTCACCTGGTCGTTCGAGTTCGAGCTGATGATGGAAGGCGCACAGATACTCGGGTTCTTTGACGGGTCTCTGCCATACCCAACAAATCGCACACAGTACGAGAAGCAGCAGTACACCTATCAGTCAATGATGGCGTATACGATCCTACTGAGGAACATCACCCCGACTCAACAGCAGAACATAAGGACTTACCGAGGTTACGGCAACTCCGCGGAGCTCGCGTTCAACCACCTGAAGAGCCTGTATCAAGCAACAGACAGCGTAAGTCAAAGTCGATTAATGGTGCAACTCACAACGGTTGAAATGAAACCAGGGGAGAAAGGAATGGCGTATATCAGTCGATGTCGCGAGTTGCGCGACAAGCTTCTTCGATGCGGAGGGTTGATATCTGAAGACGCCTTCGTGACAGTCATCATCGACGGCCTCGGTCCCCAATGGCGCGCCACAAAGGCCATCCTCCGAGCTCACGGAAGACTCTCCGAAGCAGCGCTCTGCGCCGAAATCCACGCCGAGCAGCAAGACATGGACCTGCAAGAAGAACGACACAGAAAGAAGACATCAGCACCGGAATTCGCGTTCCACACCCAGCGACGCTACAACAACAACAACAATCGGCAGCAACAACCGAAGCCAGTACCTCCGTTCTGCCACATCTGCAAAACTTCAGGACACCCGCGTACACACTGCCCGAATCATCAACAGTCAACAACCCCACAACGGCAACTTCGACCTTCAAGCAGCCAAATCGCCTCAACGCAAGTAAATCCCACGACTCAGATTCAAGCTTCAACGATCTCAACAGGACAACCTGCACAAGGAGCAAGAAACATCGTCAGCTGCATGGCAAAGCTGACAGACTCCTGCATCACCGAGTCACCACCACACTACTCACCGGAAGAACAACTCGACGAAACCACACCCCACCGCGAGTCACTTCAGCCGAACCCAACATACGCCGCCATCGCCCAAAGCGAACCATCCGGAAGGGACACATGGTTCTTGGACAGTTGCTGCGGACAGCACATGTGCTCTTCGGGACGCTTCGTTCAACGAGAACACCAACTTCAACGCGAAGTTATCATTACAGTCGCCAACAATCAGAACCTGCGAACACGACGACAAGGCGTAGTTCAACTTCAGTCAAGGGAAACAAACGTCATACTGCAGATGTCAAAAGTACTAATCGCGGAGGGACTCGGCTACAACTTACTGAGCGTCAGTCAGCTAATGGCGAAGGGGATTCACCTCGAAGCAGACAGCACCACCCAAGAATTCAAGCTGTATCACGGGAGAGGAGGACTCTACATCGGCAAGGCGGTCCTCAAGAACAACGTCTTCGTTCTTGATTTCGTTCCTGACCTTGGCACCGCCGACAGCGACGCCATCGTCAACTTCACCAACTGGACACACCCTCCAGACCTTGATCCAGACTTGAGTCCAGAAGGCTTCTGGTATTCACACACCATCCCTGAAGCAGAAAGAACAAGGGCATTAGAAACAATTAAGACAACATCAGCAGCAGCAGAGACAACATCGGCAGTAGCAGAGACAACGTCAGCAGCAGCAGAGACAACATCGGCAGCAGCAGAGACAACGTCAGCAGCAGCAAAGACAACATCGGCAGCAGCAGAACCATCAACGGCAGCAGCAGGAACGTCAACACCAATCGCTGGTCCTTCAACGACACCGCTCCTCATCGACGACACACCACCAACACCCGCGCAACAACTACACCCAGCACCACGAGAAGTTCATCGTAGCGCCACTTTCACCGCCAACTTCTACTCCAACTCCGACATGTACTGACGATCACCCGGACATCGCGCCGACGAAAGCACCTGGCACGCAAGGATGGGACATCCAAGCAACACAGTATTAAACAATACAATAAGAGCAGGAGTACTCGACAAGGACTCACTCCTACTGACCGACGGACGAGAACTTCAACGAGTACGTGGAACGTGCTTCACCTGCCCTGAAGGTGACTTACCACATCGACCATTCGCGCCTCATCACAACCCGAGCGCTCCCGCGTACGCACCACTCGAGAAGGTGTATAGCGACATCTTGTTCAATCGGGAACCAGGACAAGTAACATACAACTACACGATCACCTTCATCGATGCCGCCACCCGTTACGTCTGGCACTAGTAGCAGAGAGAGAATCGGGCGTGCAACTGAAAAGCTTCCAGTCAGACGGAGGAGGAGAATACACCTCTCAGCGATTCAAGCAGTACCTGGCGGAAAGGGGAATCAAGCAGCTCATCTCCCTTCCCTACGCCCATCAGCAGCAAGGTGTAGCAGAAAGAATGAACAGGACCCTGCAGAACAGCATGCGCAAACTGTTACGTGGCATGCGGCTACCCAACCACCAGTGGCCTGCAGCAATGGACCACGCTGCCATGCTGCACAACTTGCTGTCGTCATCATCGCTTCCAAACAACGCATCATCGCATCTGCTATGGACAGGGAAACAGGGCAGCACAAAAATGTTACGAGTTTCCGGATGCATGGTACAGTACCGACCCCCAGCAGCACGAGCGGGCCGATTTTCTCAACGAGCACAGTGGGGACTACATCTGGGAATCGAAAAGAACAACAACGCGTGGAAAATCTTCGACGTCCACTCCAAGGAAACAGTAGCAGCACGTGACGTAATTTTCTACGAACGACTCACGCTCCAGAGATACCTTGCCAACCTGCAAGAAGACGAAGATGCCACAGGTGTTTTTTGTGGTGACCGAGCCTTCGCCTCAGCAGCGGACGAAGCTGACTGGTGTCAGATTTATATGACATAGCTACTGTAGGCTATAGTGGGGTAGCACATATGGGGTACAGCTTTCTGGGGTTTGTACTTTTACCCAACTTTCCCTTAGTCATTTCATTCTCGTTCTCTTTTCTCATGGTATCGAGCAGGTTCCCCAGTGGGAACTGTTCCTAGGGCCCACCATGTTTTTTTTTTCCTGCCCGGGGCGTGTCCCGCCCCTGCCCGAAGCGCGCTTAGGGTCGCGCCTTCCCTAGTGGCCCCGTCGCGTCGCCCTTAGCGAACCGTCGCGCCGCCCTTAGCGGTTCCGTCGCGTCACCCTTCGCGACCGCGTCGCGCTGCCCCTTTTGCGGCCCCGTCGTACCGCCCTCAGCGGCCCGTCACCGCCCTCCACCTGTGGCCCGTCGCCGCCCTTTCACCTGCGGCCCCGTTGCCGCCCTTACAGTGGCCCCGTTGCTGCCCTTGCAGCGGCCCCGTCGCCGCCCTCTCCTTACGGCCCGTTGCCACCCTCCCCTTACGGCCCGTCGCCGCCCTTACAGCGGCCCTGTCGCCGCCCTTACAGCGGCCCCGTCGCCGCCCTTACAGCGGCCCCGTCTCCGCCCTTACAGCGGCCCCGTCGCCGCCCTCCCCTTACGGCCCGTCACCGCCCTTTCAGCGGCCCCGCCGCCTTCTTCAGCGGCCCCGTCACCACCCCTGCAGCGGCCTCGACACCGCCCCTTCAGCGGCCCTCCCGCCGCCTCCTCTGCGGCCCCGTCGCCGCTCACTTCAGCGGACCCGCCGCCCCTCGCGGCCTCGCCTTCCTTAGCGGCACAGCCGCCCAGCAGCCGAGCCGCCGAGAAGCCGAGCCGCCCAGCTGCCGCGCCGCCAAGCTGCCCAGCAGCCGAGCCGCCGAGCCGCCCAGCAGCCGAGCCGCCGAGCCGCCCAGCACCCAACCGCCGAGCCGCCGAGCCGCCGAGCAGCCGAGCCGCCGAGCAGCCGAGCCGCCAAGCAGCCGAGCTGCTCGAGCTGAGCCGCCGAGCCGCCCGAGCCGAGCCGCCCAGTCACCGAGCCGCCGAGCCGCCCAGTTGCTGAGCCACCGAGCCGCCGAGCCGCCCAAGCCGCCCTGTCCGGTAAGAGCAGCGCCTCTGTCACTGCACTGCCCTTACCCTACTGTTCGCGCTACTAGTCTACTGCTGTCATGGCTACCCCTAGTGTCCTCGCATTTGACGCTGAGGGTCAGGCCATTGACTTTGACGTCTGGGTAGATGACCTGCAGCTTTTCCTACAGTGCGATAGGGCAGACGGTCTCTCCCTCTTTGACCTCACCTCTGGTGCCTCTCCTGCCCCTGCTGCTGATGCTGACGCCACTGTTCGCTCACAGTGGGCCACACGCGATGCTGCTGCACGTCTTGCTGTGCGTCGCCACCTGCCTACCTCTGAGCGTGCGCACTTTAGTCAGTACAAGAGTGCTCAGACCTTGTACGACGCTGTAGTTGCACGCTACTCCTCCCCTGCCACTGCTGCACTTAGCCGCCTCATGCTACCGTACCTCTTCCCTGACCTTGCTGCCTTTCCCACAGTCGCTGACCTCATTACGTACCTCCGCACTAGTGACACTCGCTACCGCGCTGCGCTTCCTGCTGAGTTCTGCGCCAAGAACCCCCCCCCCATGTACATCACCCTCTACTACATAGTCACCCGGCTCCCTGACTCCCTTTGCATAGTCAGGGACCACTTCCTCTCAGTTTGCCCCACCACTCTCACCGTTGAACTCCTCGAGAAGGCCCTCCTAGCAGCAGAGAAGAGCATAGTAGCTGTAGGAGCCTCTCGTGGTTCCCTCACACCCCCATCTTTGAGGGGTGTTCCCCCTCCCCCCTTTTGCCCTTTGTTGCCTCTGCTGCTGCGGCCGGCCTCGTTGGGCTTGAGTCGGTCGGTGCGGCGTCTACCCCTAGCGGGAGACGCCGCCCTGGCAACGGCAAGGGGGGCAGGGGCGCTGGAGGAGCTAGCGGGGGCGGTGGAGGAGGCGGTGGAGGTAGTGGAGGGGGTGGGGGTGGCGGTGGGGGTGGTGGCGGAGGTGGAGGTGTCGGTGGCGGCAGTGGAGGCGGAGGCGGCGGCGACGGTGGCGGTGGGAGCGGAGTTGGCGAAGGTGGCGGCGGTGGCGGTGGAGGTGGAGCTGGTCGGGGTGGCGCTACGCAGAGGGTCGGCTCCGGTGGTGGTCAGCGCCAGCAGCAGCAGCAGCACTGCACTCGTGACATCCCCCCCCTTCAGCAGCTCCGTGAGTGGTACGCTGCACGCCAGCGAGGTGGGGGTACAGGTCCGTGCACCTACGTCCTACGCACCGGCGACCGCGCAGGTGAGCAGTGCGGGGGTGCGCACTCCACCCAGCGCTGCTTTGGCCGCCTGACGGACGCTGTGACTATTAGTGATGAGGGTGACCGTTACCGGTGTTTTCCGCCCGACCTGGGCATTGAGACTGCTGCTCTAGGTGCTAGCGAGGCTGCTGCTCTAGGTGCTCGTGCGACTGCTCCCTCAGGTGCTGGTGAGTCTGCTCTCTCAGGTACTGCGTCGGCTTCGGCCTCCCACACCTTCACCCTTGACTCGGGGGCTTCTCGCTCCTTCTTTCGAGACCGCACCACACTCACGCCACTTGGCCGGCCAGTTGCAGTCTCTCTGGCAGACCCCTGTTGGGGTCCTATCCTTGCTCACTACTCCACTGTCCTCCCGTGTCCGGCGGCCCCCTCTGGTACCCTATCTGGTCTTTACTTCCCCTCGTTCTCTACGAACTTGGTGAGTGTTGCTGACCTACAGAATGGGGGGGTTCACCAGTTCATTCCTTCGAGTCAGCGGGTGACCCACTGCACGGACGCTCGGACAGGCCGACACCTGGCCACGTTTACACGTCGGCCGGGGTCGAGCCTGTACACACTGACCACTGCGTCTCCTCCAGTCACTGCGTCTGGTCAGGTAGCTGCGTCGGGTCAGGTGTTTGCTGCAGCGTCCAGGTCTGGTCCTGAGTCTGCCCCCTGCTCGTGTCGCCTCCTGTCTCACGAGACTCTCCTCTGGCACCACCGCCTTGGTCACCCTTCCCTGCTTCGCCTCCGAGGCATGGCCTCCCGTGTCCTTATCTCTGGTCTTCCCCGGTCCCTCCCTCCCCTTCCGCTTGAGCCTGGCCCTACCTACGTCCCCTGTGTCGAGGGGCGGCAGCGGGCTGCCCCTCACTCCTCCCAGTTTCCTCTGACATAGGCCCCGCTGCAGACGCTTCACATGGACATGTGGGGCCCGGCCCGCGTCCGTGGACAGGGTCACGAGCGCTACTTCCTGGTGGTGGTTGACGGCTACTCGCGTTACACCACAGTCTTCCCCTTGCGCAGCAAGGGTGAGGTCACTGAGGTGTTGATCCACTGGATCCGCGCAGCTCGTCTCAAGCTCAGGCAGAGCTTCAGCTCGGACTTTCCTATTCTGCGTCTGCACTCTGACAGAGGCGGAGAGTTCTCCTCTGGCCTTCTGCGAGCCTACTGTCGTGCACGAGGCATCCGCCAGACCTTCACGCTTCCGGACTCTCCACAGCAAAATGGGATTGCTGAGCGCCACATTGGCATGGTCATGGATGTCGCTCGTACGTCCATGATGCATGCGGCTGCCCCCCATTTTCTGTGGCCGTTTGCGGTTCGGTGCGCGGCGCATCAGATCAACCTTCACCCCAGGGTCTCCATGCCGGAGATTTTCCAGCTTTGTTGTGGATGGGGAAGGTTGGCGATGCGTCTGTGTTCCGTGTCTGGGGATCTCGAGCGTTTTTCCGCGACTTGTCTGCGGACAAACTGTCCCCTCGCGCTGCTCCTTGCGTCTTCCTTGGCTTCCCCCGTGACGCGCCAGGGTGGCAGTTCTACCACCCCACCTGTTGCCGTGTTCTGTCCTCCCAGGACGTCACGTTTGACGAGTCGGTCCCCTACTACCATCTCTTCCCCTACCGCACTCCGTCCCTCCCCCCGCCACCGCTCTTCCTTGTGCCAGGTCCCCCCCTGGTAGACCCCCTCCCCCCTCAGGGTCCTGCCCCTTAAGGTGTGTCCCAGGTAGACGCAGTCGAGCCTGTCGAGGTTTCTGGTGACTCAGGTGCTGCTGAGGGTGCTGAGCCTGGGGGTGCTGACTCTGGGGGTGCTGAGCGTGTGGGTGCTACGCCTGGGGGTGCTGAGCCTGAGGGTGCTACTACTGGGGGTGCTGAGCCTGGGGGTGCTAAGCCTGGGGGTGCTACCACTGAGGGTGCTGAGCCTGAGGTTCTCCGAGTGCTTCGTCTCGGCGTGATCCACTCTCTCCACAGGAGCTGCGCGAGTGGTTTGCCCGGCGCTGGAGGCGTGCTGCTGGAGCTGGAGGTTCTTCGGCTGCTGAGGGTGCTGGTGCCGCGGGTCCCAGAGGTGCTCGTTCTGGGAGTACTGGAGCTGCTGGGTCTGCGGGTACGACTAAAGCTGGAGCTGCTGAGGGTGTTGGCGCCGAGGCTACTACTGTCGGTCCTAGAGGCGGTCCTGCTGGGGGTGCTACTGGTGCTGCTGGAGGTACTGGAACTGGGGGTGCTGCTGGCGCTGGTGCTGCCGCTGGGGGTACTAGTGCTGTCCCTGCTGTGTCTAGAGTCGCCGCGCGGCCTCGGCCGTACTTCGTTCCGCTCCTTCAGCAGGTTCTTGGTCTCCCGCCTTCTAGTGGTCCTCCTCCTCCCTTAGAGTGTCCACAGCCTGTCCTGTCATAGTTACAGTTACGACCGGCCTCCCCACTGCCTGCTCCTTCTCCCTACACTGGTCCTACTAGAGGTCTTGCTGAGCGTGGTGAGCCTGCGTCTCGCCCTGCGTCGCCTGTCCGTCCAACTCACACTAGTGGTCGTGGTTCGCGTCAGCGTCCACCTCCTGTCCCTAGCACGCACCGGATGTCTCTACGTGCGTCCACTGCTCCTGTGCGTGCCCCTTTGCCTTCTCCTCCTTAGTCCTCTCTTCCTGCTCTTGCCGACCCGGGGTCGGACTCTCTTCGTGCTACCAGTCCTACTGTCATGCGTCTCCTTGCTACTGTCGTCACTGACCCTTCCTTTGAGTCCACTGCTGCGTTTGCCCTAGTTGCTGAGCTCGTCGACTTTGCTGCTCGCTGTCGTCTAACCTAAGCTGCTAGTCTTGTCGGTGAGTCTGAGTCTGTCTGTCCTCCGTCCGTCGGGGGTGAGTGTGCCCTTGGCACGGACCTCCTTGAGGACAGGCAGGAGGAGTTTTAGTGTTTGGTTGCTGCTTCACCTCATCTCGTATCCGTATTGCTTACCCCTGAGGGAGACCCGGATGCACTTGACATCCCGACTCCGCGATCTTACGCGGAGGCGATAGAGGGTCCCTACTCCTCTCAGTGGCAGGCAGCTATGGACGCAGAGATGGCTTCCTGGAAGTCCACAGGCACCTACGTTGACGAGGTTCCCCCGCCTGGGGCGAACATCGTCAGTGGCATGTGGATCTTCAGGGTGAAGCAGCCGCCGGGTTCTCCGCCTGTCTTCAAGGCGCGTTACGTGGCTCGTGGCTTCAGTCAGCGGCAGGGAGTTGACTACTTTCAGACCTTCTCTCCCACCCCGAAGATGACCACTCTTCGGGTACTGCTGCACATAGCTGCTCAGCGCGACTACGAGCTGCACTCTCTTGACTTTAGCACTGCTTTCTTGCAGGGCAGCCTGCACGAGGAGATCTGGCTGCGTCGCCCACCTGGCTTCACTGGGTCTTTTCCTCCTGGCACCCAGTGGAGCCTCCGGCGGCCAGTCTACGGTCTTCGCCAGGCACCGCGTGAGTGGCACGACACACTGAGGACTACACTTGCGGCTCTTGGGTTTGCTCCCTCTACTGCCGACCCGTCGCTATTTCTGCGCACCGACACTTCTTTGCCGCCGTTCTACATCCTCGTGTACGTCGACGACTTGGTCTTTGCCACAGCTGACACTGCTGGACTCGCCCACGTAAAGTCCGAGCTGCAGAAGAGACACACGTGCACAGACCTGGGTGAACTGCGCAGCTACCTTGGCTTGCAGATCACCCGGGACAGAGCACGCCGCACCATTACCCTGACTCAGTCACACATGGTGCAGCAGGTCCTTCAGCGCTTCGGCTTCACGTACTCCTCGCCTCACGCCACTCCTCTGCCTACTCGCCACTCGCTCTCAGCTCTGCCTTCGGATGAGTCCGTAGAGTCAAGTGGCCCGTACCCAGAGCTTGTTGGCTGCCTCATGTACCTGATGACCTGCACACGACCTGAACTTGCATACCCTCTTAGCATTCTCGCACGCTATGTTGCTCCTGGGAGACACAGATCGGAGCACATGGCTGCAGCGAAGAGGGTGTTGCGCTACTTGTGCAGTACGTCGGGTATGGGGTTTGTGCTTGGAGGGCAGAGTCCAGTGGTCCTCACTGGGCACGCAGACGCTTCTTGGGCTGACGACCAGGCTACGCAGCGGTCGTCACAGGGTTACACCTTCAGCCTTGGTTCCGGCTCTGTTTTGTGGCGGGATACCCGCTCGTCTTCTGTTCTCGGCTCTTGTTGTGAGGTTGAGATCTACGCCGGGGCCATGGCTGCACAGGAGCTTTGCTGTCTCACCTACCTGCTGACTGACCTCGGAGAGCCGCCTCGTTCTCCTCCAGTGCTGTACGTAGACAACAAGGCCATGCTGGCCTTGTGTCGAGAGCATCGACTGGAGCACAGAACGAAGCACATTGCTCTCCGCTACTTCCTTGCTCGTGAGCTACAGCAGCGTGGTCAGCTGCGCCTTGCGTACGTGGCCTCTGAGGCCAACACTGCTGATATCTTCACCAAGGCACTTGCGCCATGTGATCATCAGCGCTTCTGTACTCAGCTGGGTCTTGTGCCTTCCTTGCCTCACTTGCTCACCTCTTGACCTTGTTTGTACTGTTGCATATATATATATACACCTGCTCTTGCTTGTCTAGCCATATATATATATATGTAAACCTGCATGTGAACTGGCCTTGTGGCCTTGAACTTGTGCTCGGAATGTGTGGTGACTTTGTGATCCACCCTGAGCTTGCTTTGCTTTGCTTGACTGGTCTTGTGACCCCTTGTTCTCCCCCACTTTGCCTATGGGGGTGTGTCAGATTTATATGACATAGCTACTGTAGGCTATAGTGGGGTAGCACATATGGGGTACAGCTTTCTGGGGTTTGTACTTGTACCCAACTTTCCCTTAGTCATTTCATTCTCGTTCTCTTTTCTCAATTGGGAGGAGCAGAATGTGGACAACGCATCAGAAGAAGCCGGACCTCTCCTGTTCTGCTCCGTCGACGTTCCCATGGACGAAGACAACCCTCACAAAAGTGCCAACGCCGAAACCTTCTACCATTTCGCCGACTACGGTTACGTAACACCTGCGAGAGTCAACACCAACGA